TAGTAAATATTCAGTCAGAAAATGTCCTTTCAATATTTCAATATGTGAACCTTAGTTAAAATATACAGCAAGAATGATTCTTTTTATATCATTTGTCCAATCAAGTACTCTGTGTGAAATATATTTAAAAAATAGCATTTATTAGACTAGAAATCATAGAAAAAAAGACTTGTTCCATGCTATCCTTAGAATGCAAGTATATTCAGAGATTGTACTTCACTTTATAAATTAAATAGTTTGTTATCTTACATACATGCCCCTAATCTAGGAAATAGTGTATTAATATTTTGGAAGTATGCTGGAAAAAGTTCTTTGTTATTGAATCCTTCTTTTCTAATAACACAGGTTCAGATTAAGTCGCTGAAATGCCTACCAGATGTCTTGGTAATTAACTGCCAAATAGAAACTGTCAAGGATTTAGAATTCTGGAAAGCTCAACAAGAGGTAAATAATTTGCAAATACAGTGTTGCATATTCATACATTGATGGAAAATATTGCCCTGACATTCATAGCTATTGATTAATTAATCATTGCACTTTTCACAGTATGTACATCTTTCCAACTCTTTTTATAGATGTCCAAACTTCCATGTTGTATTTTGATTCAAATTTAGAAACCCAAACTGTGCAATTTTAATAGACTGAGTATTTTATTTTCTGTTGATAGTATGCTGGTGTTGTGATTGATGACAATGCTACAGAGAAACCATTAAGTAAACCTTGTAGGTATGGCAAAGGGTGCACTAGGAAAGGATGTAAATTCAACCATGAAATCACTGAGGACAGTTTAGAAAGACTGTGAGTAGACACATGTTCTGTACGTCTGTGGTCTTTATTGTGATTTCAACAGCAGACATTCAATCGTGGAATTTATTTGTCTTGCAGCGTTTTTGATCTAGCTGATATGGGTGTTGAGGAGACTAAAAAATCTTGGGTTCCCTACGGCTTAAAAATGAAACTAAGCAGTGATAGAACCCTGTCCGTCGAAGATATATTTGAAGAGGTCAGTTCTGAATCAAATAACTTATTCGCATCTTACAAAATATGCTTAGCTCTCACACTAATAGTGTTGATAAAATGTATCTAACACACTTTGAGACCATTTTTTGGTGTTGATTAACATGTTGGGCAAAAACTTTGCGTTTCTCTATTTGGTTACTCGGCCATGATACTGTGTTACCATGACATTATTTATTGTTTACATTGGATACAGAATGTTGGCGCTGTTGGTGAAGAATACAAGATTTATGATTTACATGCGTCTGTGGTTCATATTCAAGACATCAAAACTGGTGGTAATCTGGCTGCTCATATTCTAGTAGGTCCAACATACCATAAAAGGAAAGAGGTGAGTGTCTTGAGTTCACTGAGTGCACCAACCACATATTCACTATGAATGTTGTCTTGTACAATACACATGTGTAAATCTTTTATAAACTCGAAACCCATCTTTATTAAGGTAGAAGCCTACTCATGACTTTTGAGAACATTGGTCATAATTTGCATGACAATGTTCATTGATTTGTTGCGTAAAATCATGAAGCTATTGTCCCATGACACCATGAAATAGCATTCTTTTGTATGTTACTGTGACGTATTTTGAGGAACTTGATTTTAAACTTCTTCAAAAACTATTTTTTAGAATAGAGCACAATGTTGAAGAAAAATTGCATTTTTTGCCACTTTTTAAAACCCAGATTTTTGAAATAATTGAGGACAAGAAAAAGTACCCCATCATTCACAATATATAATTTATTCAGCCTATGTCACCAGGCTAAAATTTAATATATGGCATAATATCTCTTCCATAGGAACCTATAGTAAATATCCAAATATTGCCAGAAAGTTAAATTTATTGGAAAATGAATAAATTCTGGGTGTTTTCCCCAAAACGTTACTCTATTATTAATGCCGCTACTCTGTGAGATTGCAATGCTGAAGAAATCCCACCAAGTTTTGTTGTGAATCTCTTAAATTAATATGCACTTTTACTATTTTCGATGTTCATTCATTAACACGTAAAACATAACAAACAAACGAATTAGCACTTGCTAGCAGACTGAATGAAGTGTGAAGCTTGGTTTCTGTTGCCTTCGAAAGTAGAAAGCAAATAAACAATACTACTAGACTAAAATTATCAGAAAAACACAAGTCAAGTTCGGCCAACCGAGGCTGCTTGAAAGCAGTGATGAAACTGACAAGTAATTCACAGTCAATGAATCTATCATCACTTTTAAATTAGCTTTGACGTAAAAGTAATACCCGAGAGTGCCAGAGAAATGACTACCGGTACATCTGTGACCGACCTCCATCGTTGACTGTACTCATGCCATGGGAAGACCAGACACAACGAAGGAAATTTATCGGTAAATCGAATCTCTGTCACCAGAGATACATTTTTCTAATCAGCTATTTATTTCCTTACTGATTAAGTCAGGGGTACAGTTTTAATGTTTAGCCAGCACAATTTTGATTTTGAGCAGGAAAATAAATAAGACTCCGACTGAGATGGGTAGTTCCTAATGGCGGCAATGTTTTTTTACTGTTGACGTGTGCTATGCAAATTACCAGCACTTGCACAAAGTTATTAAGCGAGCAGTAAAAGATTAGGGAGGGAGAGGGTCAAATTCATGTAATTCTCATTTTTAATGATGATGTCTTGGTTAATTTTGCTATAAATATACAATTTATGGACATATCCTACCCATGTAGTATTTCCCCAGGAATTATAACTGATGTTATGAGATGTGTTTTGTTTGCAGGGTGTTACGCATAGTAACTGGTATCTGTTTAATGACTTTGCTATTGCACCTATTGACAAGCATGAGGCAGTACAGTTCAATCTAGAGTGGAAAGTACCGTGTGTGTTATATTTCTTAAGACGAGATCTCAATGAGGACTATGAATGTACAAGTGAGTTTATTTCTTGATTAGTAATGAAGGGAGACACCAAGTTTTCTGAAAAGGTCTTGTCTGTGGTAAAGATACAAAAGTTGTATTTTTTAGCTGTGCTCATTGTAGATGATAGAGTGGGGCCCTTCACGTCCATTCATCAACAAATACATTTCCATCTTCTTCTTCATAACTACCAGCTCAATTGCTTTGATACTTGGTGCAAGTTGGTGGACCTTTGTCTGATTTGTTCATTTCATGCCATTATTTTCAATTTACTATTAATGGCGAATATTTTTGTCATTTTTGATCAAAAATGTTATTGTTGACCTTTACTTGAAAACCGCTACTCCAATTGCTTTGATAATTGATATATGTGTACCTCACATTTACCTCTATTAGATTAGTTCCTTCTGTGAAACAGCGGTGCTAATTTGACCATCAGATCACTTGTTATTCTGTCTATGTTGATCTAGCACTGTCCTACTGTTCTAAAAATCTACCAAGAATAACTTGACATTGACATCAATCTCAGTCACACATGTTGTGGGTTTAGTATCATTTATACTCAGTTATCTTTATTCTTTTTTAATCAGTCACTTCTCCAATTAAGGCCAGTTCACTACTAGCCGAACCATCCATGGCTAAAGCTGGTATGAAACAACACATTGCATTTACACCATTACAAGCCAGTGAGCTACCAGAACCAGGAGATCTTGTGGGACTGGACGCAGAATTTGTGACATTGAATCAGGTAAGTGACATACCAGATAAACTTGTAATATTATTAACATTATTTTTTATCAACTGTTCAGGACAAGTAGCAGTGCTTTTACAACACACTTTAGGTGATTGTTCTGCATATTGACCAAACATAATTTAGTACAGTGTCACTACTTAATTTTTTTCGATATTTTGTCTTTAGGAAGAAGCTGAAATTCGTAGTGATGGTACTCGATCTACTATTAAACCCAGTCAAATGTCAGCGGCAAGAATCACATGTGTCAGAGGTCAAGGGCCATCTGAAGGTGTAGCATTCATAGATGATTATATATCAACGCAAGAACAGGTATGTGACTGACTCACCTTCATTTGTATGCATCATTCAATATTGAAGTA